AAAAGCTCAATCCTCAAAAACCAACGTCAACATGTTTTGAGTGACGTTAGACAAAGTTTGAGGGTATTTGAAAGGATTTATTCATTTTGGACTAATTTTGAGTCATTTTTTGAGATATTTAGGACAAATTCTGAGTCGTTTTGGCCAAATTTGAGTCATTCTGGGCAGATCTTGGGTCATGTTGGACACATTTCAAATAATTTTTGATAAATTTTAGTCATTTTCAGTCAGTTTGAGTCATTTGGAGACAATTATGACCAAATTTGACTCATTCTGGACACAGTTTAAGTCATTTATGACCAGATTTTAGTCATTTTTGAGTCAGTTTTTGCGATATATAGGACAAAGTTTGAGTCATTCTGGGCAGACCTTGGGTCATGTTTGAGTCATTCTGGACACAACTTAAGTCATTTTGGTCACGTTTGAGTCATTTTTTGTGATATAGAGGACAAAGTTTGAGTCATTCTTTACAGCTTCTAAGTCATTTTGGCCACGTTTGAGTCTTTTTGGACAAGCTCGAGTTATTCTGGGCAAATCTTGGGTCATGTTGGACAAATTTCAATTAACTTTGGACACATTTTGAGTCATTCTCGGTCAGTTTTCTCTGCTCGTTGTGTTTTGAGGCAAGTCTGAGTTATTTTGGAACAACAATGAGTCACACATTTTAGTCATTTTAGACAAATCTTTAGTAATTCTGGGCAAGTTTTGAGACAGTTCCACCTCCTTTTTGACTAGTTTGAGTCATTTGGACTCGTGTTTTCAGGTCTTGTCAAATAAATAATCAAAGAACTGGTTCTTTTTTGTCTGATTTTCCCTCCAGGCATGCCGGAGTTCAGAAGGTTCATGTGCAAAAATATGCTAATCAGTGTGGTTTTCGATAATTAATCAGCCTTTCACTGGGTTGTGTAGCTGTTGTGTTTTTCCCATGAAGCCTGGAGCCCATTTAAACTCATTTTACTGGATTTATTTTCTGAGTCTCGACTCGACTTTCTCTGCGAGCTGTGACTTCCCGTCACCAAACCAAAGAAAGAGGCCCTGCAGCACGGACTGCTATTATACACAACAATAACACACAACACACACACACACACACACACACACACACACAGGCCGGGTAATGATGTGTAATTACACACAGCCTCCATGCTGTTTAGCTGCTCTGCTGTTATATTGGCTTCCATAGTTAGCATTCACACACACACACCTCCAAGCATTTCTGCAAACACGCTGCAATTATCACGCAGCAGCACGAGTGTACACAAACACACAGTGTGCACGCACGGCGCTGATCGCTGCACTCACACACACACGCACCAATATAGCGAGTGTGCAGGAAGTTGCATGGTTTGTGGCGATAAAGTGTAGCGCCGAACAATGTTTCTGCAGTGGCACACACGCCATAAAAGATCTGCTGATTATAACCATAGAAAAGAACGAGGCAGAAAATAGAAAAACGCCCAAGATAAGGAGCCCAGGACGGCGGGGACGAGAGCCGCCGTGCTCTCCGCTCCGATTGGCTGCTGGCCGAAGCCTCCCCGCTGCTTTTATTCTGAAACAAAGAAAGAAGCAAGAAACGAAACGGTCGCACAAATCAAATCACATCAGTCTGAGAGCAGCCGCAAACACACCAGAGTCTAAATGTGCAGGTCGGACGACTTTAACCTCAGAGGCAAAGTTTAAAATCAACCTCAAAGAGAACGAATGCAAAGAAACAGAATGACAACAAAAGGACCAACATCCCCACAAACAGACACAATCTGACCACAAAGAGATTCAAAACAACACAAAAGGAGCATAAAGAGACAACAAAGACACACAATGACCATAGAGACTTAATACAACGACAAAGAGACACAAAATTACCACAAAAAGAGAACAAATCATCACAAATAGAAACAAAACGCTGACAGAAGGACACAAACAAGTAGAGAGGGACACAAAATGACCACAAAGAGACACAGATCGACTACAAAGTGACACAAACTACGACAAACAGGCACAATTTGACCACCAAGAGGCACAAATCAACACAAAAGTAAAGAAAATGACCACAAAAAG